CCCCGTTCATCACCCCCTGCCAATATTCACACCCTTTGTTGTGTGACTTCACAGTTCTTCTCACTAACAGGGCAGAAGGTATTTCTTCTTCCTTTGACTTTACTTTTGGCCATGTGATTTGCTTGCGACTATTACAGTGGGGTAGATGTGACATTGTGCCCGTTGCAAACCTAAGCCTTAAGAGGTTTCATATATTTCCACTTTGGTTTTTTGTACTTTTGGCATTGTCATGAGAAGAAATTGGCCAGGCCAGCCAACTGGTCCTGGGACAAAGATACGAGACCATGTAATAACACAACCACCCCAGAATCAACTGACTGCTAGGTATGTGAGTGGGCCCAGGCAAGATCAGCAGAGCTGTCCTAACAAGCCCAGCCTAAATCAGACAACGCATGGGCTTGTGAGCTAAATAAATACTTATTGTATAACATTATTTTTTGTAGTTAATTGTTATACAGTGTTAACAACATTGTAATGAGCAAGCAATTCACTGAATCGTAGTCAATAAACATTAATTGTTCAATCCACACAAATAAAGCAATGACATACCATTGCATTTTTGTAAGATTGGCAAAATTAAAAGGTCTGATAATATTAAGTACTGACAAAAATGAGAAGTAGTAATTGATATATACCATTAGTGGGAGTTACACTTAAATACCAGGTGACATGGTTCTGGCTATTGAGTTGCAAGTGTAAGTCCCATGGGTGAGGCATCCAGGAAAGCTTTTTTTCCCTCTGATAAAAAAAAAAGAAGACAGGCTAGGTTGGTAATTGTCTTTTGTCTTTTCCTCTTCTTCCTGCCAGGAATGTGGACATCAGGCTGGAGATGGGGCAACCATCTTGCAACATGAGGTGTTTTAATTTCATTAATTATATTTTTCATATATTAAATCCATTTGGTTCCTCCTCAAACCTACCTCTTCTTCTCCCCTGACCCCACCCCGGTTTCTTTTCTTGTGGATACTAATAAAGCAAAAGGAGAATGGCTAACATTTATGAAGTCCTTATTACATGTAGGTTTGAGTGCTATGTATACATCAGCTCATTCAATCCTCACAATAATCCTTTGAAATAAGAGCTATTTTTTGTTGCATTTTACAGATAAGGAAATGGATACAGAGTTTAAATAAATTGCCCAGGGTCATGCAGCTATTAAGTGGTAGAGCCAGAATTCCAAATCCAGCTACCCGGCTCTAGCATCTATGCTCATAACTATATGCTACTCTTGGGGCGCCTGGGTGGCTCAGTCGGTTAAGCATCTGCCTTCAGCTCAGGTCATGATCTCAGGGTCCTGGGATCGAGCCCCAAGATGGGCTCCCTGCTCAGCGGGGAACCTACTTCTCCCTCTCCCTCTGCTCCTCCCCACCACTTGTGCTCACTCTCTCTCTCAAATAAATAAAAATAAAATATTAAAAAAAAACTATATGCTACTCTTTATATCTTTTATCCCTTTGGCCATCTTAAACATACTTTTTTTTTTTTTAAGATTTTATTTATTTATTTGTCAGAGAGAGAGAGCACACGCACAAGCAGAGGGAGTGGCAGGCAGAGGGAGAAGCAGGCTCCCTGAGCAAGGAGCCTGATACAGGACTTGAACCCAGGACCCTGGGATCATGACCTGAGCCAAAGGCAGACACTTAACTGACTGAGCCACCCAGGCGTCCCTTAAACATACTTATTTTATAGTCTGTTAGATTTTTATTCTATTTTCTAAAATTGTTGGTGTTCTGATTCTTCTGTTTGTTCTCCTCCTGATTCTTCTTTATAAAGAACGATTTCCTGTATGTTTTAACATGTTTGATGCACATTCAGCAACACCGATTGAGCATTCAGCAACACCGATTGAGCATGTACATGAACATGAACATTGAGCATGAACAGCAAGTGCTGTTCAAGGAGCTGGGGATACATAAGTAAAGCAGGCAAAGTCTCTGCTCTCTTACCTTAAATTCTAGTAGGAGAAAACAGACAGCAAACAAATAAGGGGATAGAGAATGGGAACGGGTGATTATATAGGATGACAAAGGAAAGCTGTCTGATAAGGTGACATTACAACAGAGACTTGAAAATATGAGAATGTGAGCTATGTCTATATCTGGGAGAATTCCCAAGCAAAAGGAATAGCAAGGACAAAGGCTGCATGGCAGGAATAGGCCTTGAATGTTCAGGAATCTGCAGAGGTCTTTATAGCTGGAATGCAGTGTAGGTGGGTGGAGCAGAGGAGATGAGAGCAGAGAGATACCTGGACAGGGCGGATGCACATCAGGTAGGGCCTTTGAGGGCGCGAGAACTTTGAGGTTGGATGGGGAGCCTCTGGAGGCTTTTTTGTGGGTCATAAATTCAAAGATGGTATTTAAAACTATGAGACTAGATGGGCTCACCTAGGGAATAGTGTAAGTAGAGAAGAGGTCTGAGCTCTGAGGCCTGGGGCATTCCAGCGGTAGGGGAGGAAAATTTTTCCTTGACCTTCTTCCTGGCTCGGTCTGGAAATTAAACTGACAAAGACAAATTAACATGAGAAATGCATACCAATTTACTTAATAGAAGTTTTACATGACACGGACGCCTTTATAAGGAAATGAAGACCCGGAGAATCAGTTAGACCTGAGCATATTTTTATGCTAGGTTCCATGAAGAGTGGACAGTCGTGGAGGAATATGGTAGGTTAAGGAGTATGAGATGAATTTAGTAACTGGAGAAGCCCGGCAAAGCCTGTTTGTGCAGATTCTTTTTAGCGTCCCTTTGTCTTCGAAGATAAGGATGCTCTTTCCTCTGGGTATAAGGAGGGCACCTCTCATCTGAGGGTTATTTTAGTTGCAGGGGAGAAGGGAGGAGGAATCAGAGTGCCCTTTCTGCTTCTGCTGTTTTCTCAAACTCCTTCAAAATATTCACTACACCAAGGTGCCATATTTTGGGGTAGCATGTCCTGAATCCCCCAGCACTTGGAGGCTAGGAAAATGAAGAAGGAGACTGAGAAGGAGCGGCCAGCCTATGGGAGAAGAACACGGAGCAGTGGTGTCCTGACATCAAGTGAAGAAAGTGTTTTAGGATGAAGAGAATCACCCCCTGCCTCAGTAAAATGAGGACAAAGAAATGACCATTGGATTTGACATGCAAGTTACTAATGATGTTTTTAAAAAATGACTGGGTGCGCCTGGGTGGCTCAGTCGTTAAGTGTCTGCCTTCAGCTCAGGTCATGATCCCAGCGTCCTGGGATCGAGCCCTGCATCAGGCTCCTTGCTCGTTGGGAAGCCTGCTTCTCCCTGTCCCACTCCCCCTGCTTGTGTTCCCTCTTTCGCTATGTCTCTGTGAAATAAGTAAATAAAATCTTAAAAAAAAAAAAAAAAAGATTGTAATGGATGGGGATGACCTGGTCGAAAGAGAATGGGAGAAGCAAAGACAGCAAATGAAAAGGGCAAACCAAAAGACTCTCTCCGGGCGCCAGTCGGTTTAGTGTCCATCTCTTGATTTTGGCTCAGGGTCGTGGGATCAAGCCCTACGTCAGGCTCCACGCTCAGCGTGGAGTAGGCTTGAGGTTCTCTCCCTCTCCCTCTCCCTCTGCCCCTCCCTCCTCAAATAAAGAAATAAATAAAATATTTTTTAAAAAAACCTCTTTCAATGAATTTTGTGTGAAGGAAGCAGAGAAATGAGTAGTAACCTGGGGCACCCGCTGGCTCAGTCAGTGGAGCATGAGACTTTTGATCACAGGGTCGTTGAGTTTGAGCCCCACATGTGGTGTAGAGTTTACTTAGAATAAAATAAAAAATATATATATAAAAAAGAAATGAGTTGTAGCCAGAGGTGGATGTGAAAGCAAGGGAGGTTTTGTTTGCTTGTTTGTAAGATAGGAGATAATAGACATCATGATGGTACAATATTGGAAATGATGCACTTTATATAAAGAGGGGAGGGCGCCTGGGTGGCTCAGTTGGTTGAGCGACTGCCTTCGGCTCAGGTCATGATCCTGGAGTCCCTGGATGGAGTCCCACATCAGGCTCCCTGCTCGGCAGGGAGTCTGCTTCTCCCTCTGACCATCCCCCCTCTCATGTGCTCTCTCTCTCATTCTCTCTCTCTCAAATAAATAAATAAAATCTTTAAAAAAAAAAAGAGGGGAATGATTTTGAGTTCAGCATAAGCAGAGATTATTTCCCACATGGCTTGGGTCCTGAGAACACCCCTCCTAAGCAGTTTCGCATTTGTTTCTGCCGGGTGCCCCATGGGCCCCACCAGCCCAGGACTAATTTCCTTGTTAAATTTTCACCTTGAGGTTTCTCACATCAAACGGGTAAAATAAATTTGGATTCCAGAACCTCAAAAAGCACAACCTTGGGTTTGATACTCACCTGGGTACTTTTGTTTTTCTTTCCCCAACGAAAGCCCCGCAAAGACAAACTTGTTTTTTTCCCGGGATTTATGGGCAAAGTTTACTAGTCTTTCTTCATTAAGGTCGTGGTCCTTAGAGGCTTCCAGCTTGTTACGGATAAAAACCTGAAGCCGTATTACTGCTCCAGCTCCGCACCTTCCCCACTGCTGGCATCTAGGGATTTCTCACTTTCTTGCAAGCCCAGCCATACATTTAAAACGTTTGGTTATATTTTAAGGGGGAAAAGAACAAAAGGAGAGAGGGAGACAAGCCATAAGGGACTCTTAATGATAGAGAACAAACTGAGGGTTGCCGGAGGGAGGTGGGTGGGGGATGGCTAGATGGGTGATGGGTATCAAGGAGGGCACGTAGCAGAAGGCCTGATTCATAGAAGATGCTCAGTAAAGGTTGGTGACTGAACAAATAATTGGCCAAAAATCACATAACTAATAGTACAGTACTAAGTGATTCTCTGTGTCTTGGAGACTTATATTCTTTAAGAAGAAAGTGGTTTTAGTGGAAATAAGAAAGCGGTTTCAGTGGAAATAAGAAAGCAGTTTCTGATGGTTATTTCGGTTGACTGGGCCAAGGCGTGTCACTTCGGTTTGGTAACCACGTGTCTTTTCCTCTCCAGAATGGAGATCTCCTCTCACCAGTCCCACCTCCTGCAGCAACTGAATGAGCAGCGCAGGCAAGATGTCTTTTGTGATTGTAGCATTCTGGTTGAAGGGAAGGTCTTCAAAGCGCATCGAAACGTATTATTTGCTAGCAGCGGCTACTTCAAAATGCTCCTTTCTCAGAATTCAAAGGAGACAAGTCAGCCAACCACAGCTACATTTCAGGCCTTCTCCCCTGACACTTTTACAGTTATCCTGGACTTCGTCTATTCCGGCAAACTCTCTCTCACTGGTCAGAACGTCATAGAAGTGATGTCAGCCGCTAGCTTCCTTCAGATGACTGATGTCATTAGTGTATGTAAGACCTTTATTAAATCTTCACTAGACATTAGTGAGAAAGAAAAAGATCGCTATTTCAGTCTCTCCGATAAAGATGCCAATTCTAATGGTATAGAACGTTCCTCCTTTTATAGCAGTGGCTGGCAAGAAGAAAGCAGTTCTCCGCATTCTCATCTAAGCTCAGATCAAGGAACAGGTATAATAAGTGGAAAATCTTGGAGTAAGTATAATTACCATCCAGCCTCCCAACGGAATACTCAACAGCCTTTGACCAAGCATGAACAAAGGAAAGATTCCATTAAAAAGTCCAAACATTTGAGGTTGTCACAGCCTTCTGAAGTTGCCCCTTACAAGTCAAGCAAACGAGAAGCACGAACATCAGATTCTTCCAGCCACATTTCCCAATCTGAAGAACAAGCACAAATTGATGCTGACATGGACTCTACTCCTGCTGGCTATCCGTATGGTCCAGGATCTGATGTCACATCCAGAAGCTTTCCAGGTATCCAAAAAAAAAAAAAAAATCAGTCCCCTTATTGAGGTTCTAAGTCTCTTGTACAAATCAATCCTATTTCAACATGCCCTTACTTTGAAGTGTTATGGGCAGTTGAACCAAGTGATTTTTCTTTTTTAAGTCATACCCCTCTAATGAAATTTATTTCATAAAACATAAATTTAATTTCCAATTAAAAATAATATTGGATAGGGGCGCCTGGCTGGCTCAGTTGGTAGAGCACGCAACTCTTGAACATAAGGTCATGAGTTCAAGCTCCACATTGGGCATGGAGCCTACTTAA